AATATATCCACTAGATTGGCAAAATATTTAAAGGCTGACAATCCAAGTGTTGGGGATCACAGGGACAAATGATAACTCTACATGGCTAGTGAGAGTGTAAATTGGTGCAGCCACTTTGAAAAACAGTTTGGTGTGAGCTGAAGGTAGGCATGTAGGCATGCCCTGTTATCTAGCAATTCCACTCCTTAAGTATGTACCTGAGGGAACTTCCGCCAGGTGCACCAGGATATACATAAAAGGCTATTCAAGGCAATGTTATTCACAGTGGGCAAAATTTAGAGACAACAACAAAATGGATGAGTAAACTGCAGTATATTCATACAATGGAATACTATTCAGCAATGAAAAACAAGCTGCAGTAACACGGATGAATCGATGAATCTTACAAAATAATGTAGAGTAAAAGAAGCTAGCCATAAAAGAATACAGGCAGCATCACGCCATTTGTACAAAGTTCAAAAACATGCAAAACTGAAATATTCTGTTAAGGGATTCCAAACTAGGTAGTAAAACTACAGGGAAAAACAGAAATGATTATCAAAACCATCAGGATAGTAGCTACATCTAGAGAAGGGGGGAGAAGGATGTGACTAGATGAGACAGAGGGGAAGATTCTAGGGTCAGACCATGTTCTAGTTCTTGACCCATGTGTCACTTTATAATTAGCTATGATTTAGGACCTCTGTGTTTTATGCACTTTCCTGTATGCACACTATATTTCACAATTAAAAAGTTAAAAACCTGAAGCAAAAATGAAAATTTGGGCCGGGTGCAGTAGCACATGCCTGTTGTCTCAGCTATTTGGGGAGCTGAGGCAGGAGGATTCCTTGAGGCCAGGAGTTTAAGGGAATATTGCATTCTGATCAGGCCTATAAATAGTAACTGCACACCAGCCTAGGCAACAAAGCAAGACCCCCAGCTCTAAAAAATTAATTAATTAATAAAAAATAAATTTAAAAAAAGAAAGAAAACTTGGGCCCATGGATGTTTTTCTGTATTTTTACATTTTCCCAAAATATATATTCTTTTAACTGATTCTGGTCACCAGCCAGGTCTGGGAACAGCTCTAAGGAAATTCTTCCTGATTTGCCCCTGCAAATAACTCATCATCACCAACATCCCTCCTCTCACCTCTCAACTCAATATGTGAGAGGCAAATGAGACATTCCTCCCAGTTTTTCTGTTTCTTTCCTACTCACTGACTGTGCTTGGGCCGGGTGACAAGACCACACACCCAGGTACACACGAAGAGCGCAGCAGTGGTCAAGGAGGCTACGTGCTGGCTCTCAGGGACCTATTTTTCTCGCCAGCTGCTGGCCTCTCTGCTTTCTTGCCCCATTTACTAAACCAGGTTCGGCCGACGGTGGACCACGGCCTGGACATTATGTTTATCTGGTCAGCTTGGAATGCCTGGGAGGAGAAATTTCCAGCTGTAATAGGGAGAGATGCTAAGTGATTGAAGAAGCCCAAGGCCAGAGAGAGGAAAGACATAGGAGAGCCCTGAGGTCTATACAGACCTAGAAATTGGACCAACCTGAGCTATAAACTTCCTCAATGGCATCCTTCCAAAGCCTCAGCAATCTGGGCCAAAGAAGCACATAGTGGCCATCCCTTTTCAGCAACTCATATTTCCAGATCTGCTGGGAATCTCCACATAAATGTCCAGCAAGCACCTCTAACTCACACGGCTAAAACTGAAGCCATACTTTCTTCCTAAATCTACCCCTCTTCTGGCACTCTCTAAACTAGAGAAAGGGAATGGCACCACCTCTCATCCAAGCCTGAAACTTGGGGCCTCCTGCTCACTCAGGCCTCTCATCCAACTCATCAGCAAGTCCCACTGGTTCTACCTCTGACACTCAGAGGGATCTGCCCACTTCCTCCAGTCTGTTGCCCCAGAGCTGACCGCCAGCATCTCTCACCTGGACTACTTCAACCATGCCCTGGGCAAGAAGCCAGGCTCCAGGCTTCCCCTACTCCCGTGGCTTCTTCTTCTTCTTCTTCATTTTTGTCCCTAACAAGCTCAACTGAGGTGCCATCCTATGGATTCTTCACATAGCACCCAAAGAGAGCTTTCTAGAATGCAAATATGATTACGTTTCTCCTTTGCTTAGAAGTCTTCAGTGGCTCCTTATTGTCCTCTGGTTAACATCCAAACTTAATATGGGGTATGGATGAATCTCTTTTTGGTCTTATCTCTTCGAATTCTACCCTTCACACACTTTCATCCAATTCTACTGCAATTCTTATACTTTTAACCTTAAAGGTACCAAGCCCTCTTACTTCTACACTTTTGTACATTCTATTTATTTCCTCTTCCTATCCCTTCATGACCCAACCCTCCCTTGGCCCAGGTAGTTCTTGCTTATTTCTCGAGGCATGGGTTAAATGTCAGTTCTCCTGGGGATCTTTCCTTGTTCCCCAAAATCCTTTGTGTTCTTTCAGCATCCCAGAATGTCACAATATCTTTCACAAGTGTTTCTAAAGCCTGTTTAACTGTCTGCCTTCCTCTTGATGACACAGGGATCATGTCTGTATTGTTCATCTTTATATGCCCCAGAACTTGACCCAGGGTGTGACATAGAGCATGCACTCTATACATAACTGAATGAATGAGTACATATATAGCTGTGGATATATAGGCTTTGTAAAAAAAAAAAAAAAAAAAAGTAAAGACCAAGACTCTACCTTCAAAAGTTTACCAGATGAAGACAACCTAGATCATCCTCATCCTTTATCCACAAAACACTTCCAAAAGCTGGGTGACACTGACCATATCTAATGGCAAATCAATACCACTCACTCAGGATGGGACAAATCACTAGCCAGGGGTTCCCAGCTGAAGACCTGGCTGTGATTTTCACACATGGCTCAGGTTCAGTCTACCATCCATGACTCAGCTCACACCAACACCTGCTCTGGCCTTACTTCATAAACCAGGAAGCAGCAAGACCCAAAGCAGAAAGAGTACAACCAGAACACACTTGGGAATAGGACTGAGCTGAGGGATGGTGGATGTAGCAGAGAAGAGCTCAGAGTGAATTCACTGCCATGGGCTCAGTGCTGGTGCCTCTACAAGGAGCCTGCCCTGCCACAGGCACAGCTAATGAGATTTGAACCTGCACAGCCAGCAGATGGTTCTAACTCATACACTTTCCTGCCAGAACCACTTGGGCCTGCTCAGCAGCTGCTGTCAGGAGCATGGGCGGGAAAGAAGTTCCTACCCTTCCTCCTTGATCTGATGGTAACTACAGAGGGGCAGCATCAAATATGCATTTTACTTAAGAGAATTCGACCAAGGGCCCCCACAAAATCCAGAGAGAGCGGGAGAGAGAATACCCTCTCAGAGCATGAGCAACTCAGAACTGGGTGAGATTCTAGCACTGAGAGACTTGGATTTTCCATGCAGCTGGCTCCCAAACTCAAGTCTCATTTCAAGTGGTGCTCAAAGAAACCTTGCTTAATCTTTCTTTCATGTTCCTTTTTTATTTTCAGTCTTTTGCATGTATGTAAAAGTATTTAAAGACTACAATCATATTTTCTATATATACCATTCTTACATGTATACACCACTATATGTTACACATTTATGCAAACATCATAAAAGGAGCACAAAATCACGAAGACCTTACATTACGGTAATATGTGGATTTTTCAGAGCTATTGTTGATTACACACAGTTTCTATCTTATGTGTTGACTTTAGAACATGATCCCCACATAGGATACAGCTCTATCTCATGGGTACCATCTTCCAAGTTCCTCCTTCAGCATCTGCCCCAAGCCAAGAAACCTTTATGGCCTTGTCCAAGATCCCACAAAGGCTGAGAACTCTAGTGACCAAGCTGACAATGACAAGCAGCCTATATACATACACTCTACCCCTTAGGGTCCTCACCAGCCCCTGGGCAGAGCTAAGAGATGTGGCACCCCAGGCCTGTCAAAAGGAGGAGGCTCCTAGGTCTGCTGCTGGCTCCTAATTTTGTTTTCTCTTTCAAAGACAGTTTTGGAATCATACTGGCCAGAAGTGAGGGATGACAAGGCCAGTTCCCTTCTCTAGTATCCTCCAGGGCCCACCCTCGAATGCCCCCATCCAGAACAGTGACAGATGGGGACACAGTCCACTCCACACAGCTAAGGAAGGACCTATTTGGGTTCAGTCCGTAGTTTTTCTCCCGCCCTGCCATAATCCCTCCCCGACAAGAGATGGGGGACCTCTGGGACCTCAAACCACCATGAAAGTATTACCCAGGGGTCTCAATAGCCCAGACTTACGTGTCCTTCCACAACCCCGACCAGCCTGAGGATCCAAATTTCCCAAAAACACACAAGTAATTGTAAGAATGGTCGAATTCCTTTATAACCCCTTGCATGGATCAGAGTCCCCATTTTTCAGATGAGGAAACTGGGAAATCTCCTGCCAAAGCCAGACAAGATCCCAGTTTTCCAGACTTCCTGTCACCCAAATCAAGACCAACAGAACTTTCTGGTTACCTCTTAATTATTCATCACCAAAAGGTTTCTTTTCCTTCCCAAGTCCTTTTCACTCATTCTTTTCGCCTACCCTTTCTCTCCAAATACCTAAACCCCTTCCACAGCCATCCTTCCCTTTTTCTTCTCCACCTGCGATTCCCCGAAGATATTAAACACCTTCTTGAATCCCAGAGGATCTTCAAGAGCAGGTAGAGCATCTCCTCTTCTTAAAACATGTCCTTTTCTGTGGGTCAGAGCCCCCTCCTCACAGGCCCCTCATCCCCCACCCTCTGCTCACGACCCTGCTCAGGCCCTTTGTGACCCGTCTCTTCAACTTCCTCACCCTCCCTGTCCCAACACCAAGGGTCCCTTCCTGCGCGTAACCGCCCCCAAAGTTTCGGACTCTGTCCCTCCAACCCTCCCAGGTGCAGCCCCCGCCCTCTCAGAAGCTCAGGCCTGACCTATTCTTTCCACAGTGCCCCCATCCCACCAGCGCAGCCCCCAGAGGCCCTGCTCCGGCGTGCTTACCCGACCAGAGCACGAGCTTGCCGTGCGCTTCCTCCTGGGAGTCCGAGTCCCCAGCCAGCAGCGTGGAGGTGGCCCCGTAGGGCAGCGCCGAGCCCAGGCACACGTTGTAGCGCAGCGGCTCGCAGGGGGCTGCCCGGCCGCAGTGGCTCAGCAGCGGCGGCGGGCCAGTCACGGCCCCGCTCCTTCTCGTGCTCACGCCCGCGCTCCGCGGCCCAGACCCAGTCGCGTTCCCGCTCAAGGCCGCCCCCCGGCCCGGGCCCCCCAGCAGCAGCAGCAGCAGCCCCAGGAGCGGGAGCTCCAGCCCCCGCGCGGGGCGGGCAGCGGCCATGGCCAAACCCGCCAACTCAGCAGAAGCCCCGGCGCCCCCGCCCGCTCCCCGGAGCCCCCAGGCCACACGCGCAACCCTCGGGGCCGCGGAGGCGGCTCAGGCGACCTGTGCGCCCCGCAAGTCCGGGCCCGGGCCTCCCCGGACGCTCCGCGCGCCACGGCCCCTCGGCGCCCAACTTCGCAAACTTTGGAACCAGGGGCCCATGTTGGGCTGCAGAGGCCCGGGCCGGGATGCACAATTCCCCAGCCCCTCGCCTGGCAATCCGAGTTGTCTTCAGCCCCGGGACCCCTCTGGACCCCCAATCCCCAACCCCATTCCCTCTCCCACCGTTAAAACCAACTCCCGGCCGAGCGAGGGAGGCTGGCGCAGGCCGAGGGTTCGGGACTGCGTCTCCGGCTCCGCCCCCGCGCCAGCCCGCGGCCCAGCAGCCACCTTCGCCCGAGCGCGCCGCAGCCCCCCGAGTTCTCCCCGCCGACTACCCGCTCCTTTGTTGCTCTAGCTCGCTCGGCTCTCTGGAATGCATGGGCCTCGCTGAGCCAAGCCCGGCCCCCCCTTCGCCGAAGCTGTGGGAGGGACGGGACGAGGGAGGGGAGGGGAGGGGAGCGGAGGGGAGGCGAGAGAGGAGGAGCGCGAGCTTCGGCGTCCTCGCGCCCGGAGGGGCCCGAGCTGGGGGGACCTGGGGGGATCCGGTGACCCTGACCGCCGCCGCCCCGGCCCGGGAAAGAGATGGATGGAAATCGTGGGCCGGAGTCACAACTAGAGATAAAGCCTTCACCTTAATTGGTCTGAGGATCGTTCAACTTGGTAGTCCGTAGGGAGCGGACTTTTCTCCTGGTTTAGTGTGGTAGAGTTAGGGGATGCCTGAAGTCAGCGGCAGCTCGTACCCCATCCCTGCCGTTTCCCAGGCCCGCCAGTCTTTCCTGCTTTTGATTGGATCTTACAGTTTATCCCGGGGCCCCAAGGAAAAGAACTTGGGTTTGGTGTTCCCGCTTCTCCAAATCCTTCTGCAGTTTTCTGACTCTCAGTGATGACCTCAGAGTCACCCACAAAGCTACCCGCGTTGCTGTTACCTGTGGGAGCAGGTGTCTGGAAATGAAATGTGCCAACATCAAGACTTTATTGCCACAAATGTGTGCAGTCTGAACTGTGGTTTCCAGTGACTCGCCTTGGCGTGTTTTGGTTGTGTCCCAAGGAAGCCAGTCCTTCTTTGATGGCCCTTGTTGCTAATGCGCCTGAGGAAGTTTCTGCTGTTCCTCTTCCCCACTCTGCTCATTTTGTTTTTTCTCACTTTGTGCATCATGCTTTCAGTCACCACACTTAATTTCACCCAGCAGCAGTTACTCCTGCATAACCAACCACGTATGACCCCGTGTGACTAAGGGTCCAGCCAGGAGAGTGAGCTTGCATGGAGCAACTTACCCACCTTGCTGCTCCGACATCACACCAGGGTAGTTTTTACCTTCTGATCCCTGGAAGACTAGCTTATAGCCTAGCTGAAGCTGAAGTTCGGTTACCTTTCACTGTTTAAGAGCAAATTAGCTATTGCACTTTAGCTAACATCCTTAATTGGCACATGAGCCCAGAAAATGAGAAAGAGAGAGAGAATTTAGTCTATCTAGCAAGTCTTTCTAAAATCTCGGGATGTGCATAGCATGGTGACATCCTTGAAGAACTTGAGGACTTACATTTTACTGTGGAGACAAGGCTTGCCCTCAAGAAACATATATCATGACAAAGCAGCAAAGTTTCCTCCTCAATGGCAGGGGCTTTATCTTATTCTCTTTGTGTTCACAAAGCATCTAGTTCAGTCGGACATGCTTATCAATCACTTAATAAATAAGCTGCCCAAATGAGGTGTCCTATGAGTATACTACAGGAATTTATAGCAGAGAGGTCAGTGTGAGTAGAAGTGGAAGCGATGGGTTTTGAATTCAGGACTGAAGTGTGAGTAGGAAGAGTTAGAAAAGTAAAGAGGAGTAGAACAGGCATCAGAGGTGAAGGAAACTATGACTGTAGCTCAGAGCATGACTGGCCTGGCTGGTACTCAGGAGGTAGGGACCAAGGTAAGTATGGAAACTGATTGGTAAGAGGCCTCAATTGACAGAGGAATTAAGGCTTAATTTTATTAGAAATTAGAAAACAGTGCAAATTTTGACCAGGGGAGTATTATTAATCCTTAGTAATAAGCCAATGTGAGGATGGTATGAGGGCAAGAGGCTGGAGACAGGGGGCCATTTTGAAGGAAATCATTGGTGATTCATGGATGAAGTGGAAATAGACTGTCATCAGGGCATAATATTCCCACTGGAAAAATAATTTAAGACATAACCTATTTCAGTTATATTTTTTCTGTGTTATAATGAAATGACTGTCATAATATGTCCAAGTATGAGCCATAGAAAAAGTTGCCCTGGAGCCTGATATGACATTGATGCTCTTTGCTTTGTGAACTTTCCCCACTTTTTTTCTATGTGGTCATTACTGTGGCATTTTCTCAGTATTCCATATGTGCTCAAGCAGCCCCTTAGCTCTCTGCCTAAAAATGTCGGTGGGCAATTCTTCAAGTAGGAAGGCTCTACAATTCCTTGTCTGGATTTCTTGGGAGGTATGAGGAAGATTCATGTTGTCATAATAGAAGTGCCTTTACACTAAAAATGGAAGAGGAAAATTAAGAAGATCCTGGCCAGGCACGGTGGCTCAGGCCTATAATCCTAGCACTTTGGGAGGCCAAGGCAGGAGGATCGCTCAAGGTCAGGAGTTTGAAACCAGCCTGAGCAAGAGCGAGACCCAGTCTCTACTAAAAATAGAAAGAAATTTATTGGACAACTAAAAACATATAGAAAAAAATTAGCCAGCCATGGTGGCGTATGCCTGTAGTTCCAGCTACTTGGGAGGCTGAGGCAGAAAGATGCTCGACCCCAGGATTAGGTTGCGGAGCTACAGGCACTCTAGCCAAGGCAACAAAGTGAGACTCCTGTCTAAAAAAAAAAAAAGAAATCCTAAAGATGTTATCTTCTAGCCAGAAGGCTCTACCTTCAGGGAAAAGGAGAAGATAATCTGATTCTCAATTCCATGTGCCTGTGTGCGCACACGTGTTGTGTTGTGTGTGTGTGTGTGTGTCTGTGCACACATGCTCCTGTTTACCAGGCTTTGGCATCCTTCCTGGGAATCCTGCGGCCTACGCAAAAGACAACAGGAAGGCAGAAAATTCTCATGGCACTGTCTACTGCTAGTGGGCCAGGTTCCCATCAGTGGCAGCTGCACCAACGTGCTATTCCACAGATACAAAAGGAAGTGGAAAGAGATTTAGGAATCCTGTCAGACAGCAGTTTTGGGAGAATAAGGAAAGTGCTGAGTAGCCGACTGGGGAAGAGAGAATTTCTTTGGTTCCTGAAATGCATTCAGGGTCTCAGAGAAGGCTCATCCATCTCCTGCAGACGTACCAAGACTGCCAATGTCTGTCAGAGATGCTTAGAGGGACTCACTCTGAACACTGCCATCTCCAACCTGGTGGCAGGCTGGAAGTGCTTCTCTCCTGAGCCTGGGCCACCCGCCACCCAGTTCCTCAAGAGCTTAGCCCCATCTTCATGTCCTAACACAGTCCTTTTGTCAGGGATGATGGCTATCCTATTGACATTGCATTTTATACTTGATTTGCTACAAGTAGCTTCTTGATTTCTGAGTCATTCTCATCAAATATTCTGGCATTTTGAGTCACACATTCAATGTTGATTCTTTGTTATTTGCCTTTGGGCCCTTCCACTCAAAGAAAGTTGACATAAAGTACCCCTGAATATTCCATGGTATCCTGAGACCCTGGTTGCCTCCTTCTATTTCCATTATTACCCTGGCCAGAATTGGCAGTGTAATTGTTGCTGTGCTCCAGTTCTTTTTTCCCCAATTTTCCTATTTTGTAATTAAGAGCATTGAGTCAAAGGGAAAAAGCAAAATGGGAAAAGCGCCAGATAAGCAACTACCCTCAAGAGACACCACAATCGATTGGAGTTAGAGCCCTGACTTGGCCTTACTAGCCAAGCACCTTGAACAACTTATTCTGAGCCTCTATCTCTTCCTTTCCAAAAATAGGATATTATCAGTTGTGTTTCTATATACCAGTGATGAATAATCTGAAAAGGAAATTAAGACAGCAATTCCATTTACGATTGCATCAAAAATAATTAAATACTCAGGAATTTGAGTTGCTTTGAGCTAGGCTGACGCACGGCACTCTAGCCCAGGCAACAAAAGTGAGACTCTGTCTCAAAAAAAAAAAAAAAAGAATTAATACTTAGGATAAATCAACTAAGGAAGTAAAGACTTGTAAACTGAAAACTACAAACGTTTGCTGAAAAAAATTAAAGAAGTCCTTAATAAATGGAAGCTAACTGTGTTTGAGGATTGGAAGACTTAACATTGTTATCCAATACTAATACATTGATTACATATTTAACACAAATCCTTACCTAAATTCCAACACCTCTTTACAGAAATAGAAAAGCCAATTCTCAAATGCATATGGAATTTCAAGAGCCCTGAATAGCCAAAGTAATCTTTTAAAAATAATACAAGAATACCA